AACCCAAGTCGAAGCAGAAGCAAGCAGCGAAGCAAACCTCGAAGACCGACTCCTTGGCCGTGCAGCTTAGAGCAGGCAACAAACGCTCTCGGTCTGGTATGCTGCAGCGAGAAATTTCTGGTACGCCTGTCGACACTTCAGCTAAGACGTCGCGACGGCCATCAATCTCAGGAGGCAAGGAGAACCGTGACCCATCATTGGCAATAGTGGCGACTGAAGACATCGATGCCACGCCTCAGCCGGACGACGAGTCCATGATTGACCTGGCCGATATGCAGGACGCCGCTGCAGCTGCGAAGGCGGTCCCGGATCACGTCCCTTATACCCGCGAGGAAGAAATTGAGAAACTCCGCACCGGAGGCAGCATGACACAGAACCAGACTGAGATCTCGCGTGTACGCAACCTAGAGCGAATCCAAATGGGAACTCACGAAATCGAACCCTGGTACTTCTCGCCCTATCCAGCCGAATTCGCAGACTCAGACCTCGTCTTCATCTGCGAGTTCTGTCTAGGCTATTACGGCGCTCTCTCCCAATTCGCCCGACACCGTGCAAAATGCACACTCCAACACCCACCGGGCAACGAGATCTACCGCGACGCCAACGTCTCCTTCTTCGAGATCGATGGTCGGCGTCAACGGACCTGGTGCCGCAATCTCTGTCTCCTCTCAAAGCTCTTCCTAGACCACAAGACGCTCTACTACGACGTCGATCCCTTCCTCTTCTACTGCATGACTGTGCGTTCGCCACACGGCCACCATCTAGTAGGCTACTTCAGCAAAGAGAAGGAATGCTCCGAAGGCTACAACGTCGCCTGCATTCTCACTCTTCCTCAATATCAGCGAAAAGGCTACGGCAAACTCCTCATCCAGTTTTCCTACGAGCTCTCGAAGATCGAGCAAAAGCTTGGATCCCCCGAGAAACCGCTCTCCGATCTCGGACTGCTAGGCTACCGAGCCTACTGGCAAGAAGTCATCGTCGATCTTCTCGCTGAGACGCTCGAATCCGGTACGCCGCAACTCAGTGTCGAAGATATCGGGCAGACACTGGCGATGACTACAAACGATGTGCTGCATACGCTGCAGAACTTGAACATGTTGCGATATCATGCTAAGAGCCATGTTATCGTGCTGACGGAGGCTGTACTTGGGCAAAGGGATCGATTGAGGGAGAAGGAGGCGAGGAAGGGTGGGAAGAGGATTATTGAAAGTGGGAGACTGCAGTGGAAGCCGCCAGTGTTCTCGGCTGCAGCTAGGACGTGGAACTGGTAAACGAGAGGGGGATGCTCTGGCCTGCGGGTTTGTGTGGGAATTAGCGAGGAGTTTGGGTGATCGAGATACCCTCATTGTGTCGACAGTAGGATTGACTCAAGGAATATATGATCTGCATGCAAACACCTGATTTCATGGATTACCTCATCGTGACAGAGAAGCCTGGAGTCCTGCCTGACTTGCCCAGTCCATCGCTCAGAGGGCCCTATAGTCGTCGGCCGTGGGTCTTCCCGTGAGTAAGTAGGCACCTTTGCCTGCACCATTCCGAGGCTAAGGGAGCTCTGAATGGTCCTCCTTAGCGCCGCGCCTGTACGCAGGATTGTCTCGGACCTCAGAACCTCGGTAAGGATGGACCATGGTGGGTGGAAAAAGGCAAATCGACCCCCCAAATGCCAGGAAGGTGCCAAAACGAATGAGGTCGATCCCGGGCTCGAACCGGGGTTACCAGAAGACTGTAAATTCAAAATCTGGAGTGATAACCACTACACTAATCAACCGACCTGCCGACACGGGCTAGAACGAGTAATTATAATCCCCAGATCTAGTTTTGGGGCCCCCAGTGCTAGTTTCGGGGTCAACGAGGCTCCGCTTCCTGGATCGTCAAACAGACCATTCCAACGTTCAGAAGAGGCGCTCAAAGGTTGATGGCATGGGCAGCATTACGTACAGTACGTTCCAAGCGCAGAGCATAGCCCCACAACGGGAATTCGCGGTATGTGAAGCATAGTCACGTGCTGGCTTGAGCAGGTGACGTTGAACGTCGGCCCGAAATAGCTCCGACGTCAAGATATGCCATCATTTTGTCTACTACCTACGACATTATCAGGCTAGTCGAGCTTCAAGTACTCTCGGAATGACCGTAGCACGATGATCCAGGACGGAGCAAGCTCGCGCGAGTTTTCACAGCACCTAACAGCACTGATCAAGCGCAGAAAGGGTCTGTTGCGATACCTCACAACATGCGTGCGTATGTCCGCATGTCACCATCCACATCTCCATTCGATATCTGCTCGCTATGCTGAGTTGTGTGTCAACATCTTCATCTTCCTCTGCTGCCTCGCGAGCCCTTGCCCCTTTGCTACGGTGTAGAGGCATGCCAGATGCTCTGTCAAAATCCTTTCTTCCCATCTATCTCGCCAGCATGAATCTCCGCATCGTCAGTCGACCCACGCTCTCCATGCTAATCAGACAGCTTTTCATCATCTGCAAGATTGTCGCCACCGTACATGGCTTGGAAGCGTTGCCAGTCCGATCCGACATAGCTCTCACCATCGCTGTGATCTGCAGCTTCTTCCGATTCACTACCACTAGCAGAACTATGCTCACCGGCCAGGTCCGGAGCACTGTTGCCAGCTGCATTGCTCACATCAGCTGCGTAGCCAGTTGACGGCAACGTAGCTGCTTGCTTCGACTTCCGCTTCTTCTCTCGGGCTTCCTCTATGGCTCTGACTTTCTCGGCTTTCATGCGCTGGTGGAGATCCTTGTATTCTCTTTCTTTGTTTCGTTCGTTTGTCTGGAGAACTGTCAGCTGAAAGATTCTGCGACGTATCGCAATCTCGTCCTTGCTTAGACTTACTCACTTGTTGGATATCTTTGCCTTGGCGTATCCCTTCGGAATGGCAATCAAGAACGGCAGACCGTCGCCTCTGATGACATCAGAACGCACTATGGCAAGAGACTTCATGGCTTCAATGATCTCAGTCAGGCGAGCCGTACATGACAGCTGCATGCTTTTGCCCAGCCGGGAACCGCCATGACGAATACCTGCGTTCGGGTCAGCGGAGGTATCGTGTGCTGCAACAACTTTCCAGAAGAGGTCAGTAGCCCTGGCCTGCATGTCATCGGGACTAGAAGCTTCTGCGACCGTCACGAGAACGTGCTCATCGAAGGTCCTTCTCCCTTTTATCCCACTCTACCCGCAATTCTCCGGGCCAGCTTTCTGGCATGGCGGCCAGGGAACTGTTGAACGCACTAATGATCTTTGAAATCCAAATCTTGTGCTCGACCTTTGCCTGCGGATAGTCATCCTCCTGGAGATGCAGAGGGATGATGGGATTGATGATCTGCGAGGCAGCTGCTACACCGAGATCATGTCTGATGAGTACGTCGAACGGCTTTGTAACCTTTTGCATGGCTGACTCCACCCGCTCTTTCGGGTTTGCTCTGTTCAATCGGGCCACAGATCGCTTGGACTCCCGATATAAACTGACGGCATCACTGGGACGATGCTTACGGCCTTGTGTGGGCTTCGGAGTGGTAATAGGCGGCCGCATTGTCGTTGCGGTACTCGGAACCGCAGCACTGGCACTACTGGACAGCGCCTCTTTCGATCGGGAAGAGCGTCCCGGCGAAAGCGGCTGATGTTCATGGCCGACCAATGTACGCGCATAATTTACTGAGATACTGCTCGGTGGTGCCAGAGGCCCAATCACTGGACCCTCCTGATCGTCACTGGCAGGCGTATTGCGAAGACTGCCGACAGAGCTCGGCTCTGCTTGGACATCCGTATCGATGCCACTGCCACTGGAGATCACGGGCTGACGTGAGAGTTGCTCGCTGTTGAAGCGCGATGTCGAGTTGTTATGCGATATGCGGGGATGTAGCGCATTGATGTAGATGGGTGGCACGCCTGGTAGAGCTGGGCCTGGCACTCCATTTTGAGCCAAAAGCGCCCTGGGAAGTACAGCGAACAACACTGGTAGTTTACCACCGTTCAGCCACTCTAGTCGGAGAGGCACCCGGATGCCATCTTCGCCGTCGTCAGAACGGGCCAATTCGTTCAGGTCGGAGCGCGGGATGCTTGGGTTTGGTGGGTCTTGGTCAGCCATAAAAGTGAGAACAAGGATCGCCGGACACCCAGATAGCTTGCGGTAGGCCTGTCCATCTGGTGCTCCGACTGCGTCCATATATGCAACGACTGCATGCAGCGGTTAGTGTGGGGCAGCGCCAGGTAGGGACTGGAAAGAGGTCGAAAACATTGCGATCTTTCTAGTCTGTACGGACACACTCCTCGACGTGATCGGAAACCATCTCTTCTTTCGAGACATGAATTTTCAGCTGCGAGTGACGAGACGGCGTGGACGGTTGGGATCCACTAGTTGCACTGATGTAATAGTCCAGCTTCAACATGCAGATGGAATAGCCATTCACTTCGCTTACAGAGGCCACAACGCTGGGGCCTGGACTTGACATCTCTTGGACATATCTACACTCGATAGCACTGGACGTTTCTCAATTTCCCCCTGCTCGACTCTTACCTAAAATCCCCGGCTTCGCGGCATCTTGGGCAAGCTTCAGCAAGAAGCCGCTCGTGAACATGCGACCAAGGTCGGGTCTACCACCCTTTCCCCAACACCTTCGCTGCCCGGTTCCAGCAGTTTCCCATCAATCTCAGAAACGCACTGTGTCTCAGAGGCCGCCCATAGTCGAGCATTTGCCTCCTCCAGAGTACAGCTATGGCCATACGTGCCGTCCGAAGGAAGGACTGATCAAGAAAGCTCCTCATAGCCTCATGAAAAGACGATCGATACAGAGACGGCCTTCAAGGTCCCTAGAGAACCTCAGTCGAAATCACCGAAGTTACCACACTCGAATGACCAAGCCGCAACCCTTCTCTAGCACAAAGCGTGGATGGCGTTGCGCATCTACTAGACGCTCCAACTTCTTCCATGCTCGTAAGTCCTGCCACATCTTCATTTCTTTGATTCATTATTGACCCTGTACGCCCTCAACGTTAGCAACGCCCTTTAGAAGCAGAAATACTCAAAGAACTTACTTATTAGCGCCCTTCTGAGCCACGAACGCAGTGGGATCCGCCACAAATTCCGGGAGCCGAGTCTGCGTGAGCACATCCTCCCTCACCTGGCCGATGTCCCTAACACCCCGAATGATCGCCTCCACACGATCGGAGCACTTCAGCGTGGGATTCACCTTGGCACTCCCGATGGCTCGTGGGCCAGGATGAGGGTTCGTGGCCGTCACCTTGTGCGCCTCGTAGACAACATGCATGAGAACGGTTGCGACCGCTTGCAGCAGCTGTGGATCGCGACGCGAGATGATGGTGTTGGAAACACGGGTGCAAGTAGTCGTCTGCCAGTTGTCCCAAGCGGTCTGCAACTGCGGCGTGGACTTGCGGCTGTTGGTAGTGGTACGCCACGGAGCACCGAACGCCTGCATGATGCGATGGACGTAATGTTTTTAGGTTGGCCATGACAGTGACAATATCATCTGCCCCTGTGAGACGCAGACTCTGCTTCTTGATGACGGTCCGGGTCGCGTCTGCAAGTGACATACGAGGATGCATCGTGGTGTTGACCAGAGGTAGAGTCGCATTTGGAAGGATTGCAGCAGGTGGGTTGTAAGGATTTGACGGCGGTTACATAGTAAGACTACCCCAGGACGCAAGCGATTGGGTTCCGCCTATACCGCCCCAAGTGGGTGCCGACAAGCCGTAGGTACCGACGCCTAGCGCTGTAGGAGTGGCGCTCTGCTTTGCAAGCTTCTTCGCCTTCCGGACAGGCTCCGACTTTGGAGGTAGCGTTGAAGATCCGCGGTTCGTGGGATTCAAGGTATGAAAGACGCCGCCATGGATGCCATGTGACATGTAGGACAGCTCGTCTGAGTCGTCACCACCGTTCTGCTCATCACAGTCATCCGACGAGGCACGCTTGCGCTTGCTACCAGACTCCCCGAAGCTGGCTCCGCCCATTGGTGAGAAAATGAACGCCCTCGACGCTCCAGCTACAGCGTTGCTGTTCGACTTTGTGACAGACTTGTGAGATCCCATGGCTATCGCAGGGGGATGACGCCGGTTGTGAGATGGAGATTTCGTGTTGACTCCGAATACGTAGGCATTTGAACGAGCCGAAGGTGTTTTGATGTATGATGTGGATGAATGAGGTGTGACCAACCCGTTGCCGGATCGTGCACAGTTGTGTGATCGACCAGCATCGACTAGAGGTGCCGCATCGGCGGAACCTCTCGCTCGCGCAGTTTCCAACTCGATGGGCCGGTACTGTGCAAGTGCAAGGCCATTGTGCGAAGGTCCCGACGTTTGTTGAGCGGCGCTGGAGGTTGGGTCGGAAGGCGCAGCATGTGCGATCTGCAGAGTATCCCGATGGTCTTGCTGTGACGTCGAGTAGCGTGGCTTGGACTGCCTCTGGGAAGAAATGCTGGCTGGAGATGTACGAGAAGCGGTGGAAGGACTGCGTTGCGCGTGACGCCCTTCGTTGTTGTCGCGCTCTGCCAGATATGCGCTGATTGCCTCGTGTGTTGCAAGATGCGGGTCGACTGTCATCGCGCTGATTGCACTGGCCGAGAGGTTCTTGGACTTGTTGGGTTTAGGCGGACTGTCATCGGGGCTGGCAGCAGCAGGGGTACTTGTAGCAGTGTTTGTGCTGACAGTACTCGGGGAACCGACAGCAGCTGGAGTGCTGACGATAGCGGTGCTGACAGTACTTGGGGTGCTGGTAGAAGTAAGGGTGCTGGCTTCGAGATC